GAAAGCACAGATTGGTTCAAGACAAGTCTCCCTCCCATAGAAAGAAACTTACTCTTCCAACCTTCAAGCCTCTTCTGGTATTTATCAATAACTGGATCCCAAATGGAGACTGAATTCGGGCTAGCTCCTAGAGGGAAGTCCAGATACCTCAGAGGGTCCTTGCTCCATTTACATCCAAAAATTCCAGCAAAGAACTCAGGATTCAGAACATCTCCAACTGTGAACATGATAGATTTGTCCAAATTAATTTTTATCCCTGTGACCGCCTAGAAACACACGAGGGTAGCCATGATATGGTTGACATGCCATGATTCACATCGCAAAATAGAATGGTGTCATCCGCGAACAAAAGGTGGGTGACTTCGCCTCTTGCTTCCTCCTCATTCATTTGGAACCCCTTGATCTTTCCAGCTTCTGAAACTTTGTTTATCATGTAGCTCAACACATCCAAGACTAGAGACCCGACGGCGATGAGAGCGGGTCCCCTTGCCTAAGACCCTTATGGGTAGGGAAGAAGCCTTTAGATTCCCCATTGATTAAGATGGATATGAGAGGCGCGCACATAGTCCCACGTATCCATTTGAGCCACTTCTCCAAAAACCCCAAGCTGGTAAGGACTTTGAACAAGCATTCCCAATTTACATTATCAAATGCTTTCTCGATGTCCAACTTGAACATCAAACCAGGATTTCTGCTTCTTCGGCGACTGTCCACAAGCTCAAAAGCAATCAAGTCGGCGTCAGCGATCTGCCTTCCTTTTAGTGAACTGTGCTGATTGCAGGTAACAAGACTAGGGAGAACAATGCTAAGTCTTCGAGCAAGAACCTTACTGGCCAACTTGTTGATGCTTCCCATTAGACTGATAGGCCTTAAGTCTCTCTTATCCTCTTGATAAACCATTAATTACACATGTTTTACCCCTATTCTTGAGCCGTTTGAGACATTGATTCTCGTGTTTTAAGCCGATTTCATGCTAGGTTGTGCGTTTATGTCATATTTCAGGGCTTAGCGTTGGCATCGAGGCGAAGGAACGAGATTCGGGTCGAAAGGAGCAAGTGAGGTTTAAAGTGTGCTGGAGACCAAAAATACCCGACCATGAGCAGAAATACCCGGCCGGATATTATTTGGCCATGAACGGGGATTTGACGCTTTGGGCGTCGTTGAGAAACAGAGAGGGTCCCGGTCGTGAAGCATAAATCCCCGGTCGGGGATTTTAGAGCAGACCGGGGATTTCCCCCTGTTCCTAAACGCGTGTTTTGAATATACCCGGTCGACACCCAAAATACCTGACCGGGTATTTCGACCGGGGATAGCGACATGCAGCTTCTTAAGGGAAAAGAAGGCTAAAAATCAAGGGTTCCGAGTTTTAGAGAAAGAAAGCGATTCCTAGAGAGAGAGAGCGACGAACCAGAGTTCCCAAGTGCGCTAGCTTGAACTTCATCACCATTGGAGCTCGGCTTACACTTGGAGAAGTGCCGATTGACAACCAGGAGCAGATTCTCATCCTACACAGCATGATTTCTCCATCTGAACCTGCTTTTGCTTCTCTATCCATGGAGTAGTTTTCCCATTCATCTGGGTATGGAGAACCCTAGATTTGTATGCTATGTCTGATTGTATGAACCCAAGTACAGATTTTATGATTTGATTATAATCAATTGAGGCTTGAATGATTGAATGACTTGAATCCTGATCAAATTCCTGTTATTTCTGCTTTAGCCTAGAATGAGAATATCTGCCTAGGTTAATAGAGCACCCTTAATTGAAGGTAGTGAATTGGTGACTTTAGTCGAGGAGCCAGTTCACTATTATGTACCGAATTTACTTCGGTAGTGGAGGTTTGGTTCGTTAGGGCCTCAATCTGTTTACTCCGGTGGAGGTTAGTCGCCCGCTGGGGACTCAGATTGAGAGGGTCTGGAGACCTTTAGTCGAGACTTCAGACTGTTTAATAACCTTCCGCAGTATAACTATCGTAGAAACTGAACTTGGTAATTGCAATCCGGCTTAACTGCAGTCTAGGGGGAACCATATCCGGGTGACCTCTCTTGACTTGATAACAACCGTTTAATTGCTTTGCTTGTTTGCTTAATTGAACCTGCACTAAAGTTTCACCGTTAGATAATAAGAATTCACTGAGTAGTCATCACATCTAGGACTCGGGTTGGCATTAAAACCCAAACCCGCTATACTACGCTTTAGGAAGTGGTTACACTTGGCCATTTTCTAGAGTGACAGTAGGAGTGAGTCACCTCTACAACATCCTTTTTTGGTACCAAGTAGATGAACGAGTGAGCGACGCACTTTGGCAAACGCCCTGTACTATGGAACTCTTGGAAAGCATTCACAATGTCAGGCTTGAACCACACCTAACATTTCTTATAGAAATCCCAGGTGAACCCGTCGGGCCCTAGTGCTTTGCCACCATCAAAATCTGACAAACTCTCCCAAATCTCCAGCTCCGTAAAAGGCCTACAAAGAGCATGACTATCTTCGATTGAAAGAGAACAACTCGTATACCTCGAAGGGAAAGGTCTGCAGACAATAGATTCCTGAAACATGTACTTGTAGAAGTCAACGATCCCCACAGCCACCTCCTCCCTACCTTCCACCAGAACACCGTTTAATTTAATACACTCAATCTGATTTAACTTGCGTCTGTGATTGGCGACCCTGTGAAAGAAACCAGAATTTTTATCCCCCACCTTAAGCCATAGTTCCCTAGACTTCTGCCTCCACGATATTTCCTGTAAGAGAAGGAGTTTCCCAACATCCACTTTCAAACCATCCCTTGTCGCCCTATCAGCTTCAGATAACGACCTAGTCTCCTCCTGGTTATCAAGCTCAGAAATCTTGGAGAGTAAGTCTTTTATCCTTATATTAAGATCTCCAAAGACTTCCTGGTTCCAGACCTTGATTTTGCTTTTCAGGATTTGTAGTCTCTTGGCCCAACGAAAGATCCATCTTCTACCCTTTAACTCTTCTCTGTACCAGCTCTCCATCCCCTCAAAGAACCTAGCATCCTCCAACCACATGTTTTCAAATTTCCAAGGCCGCTTGACTCTAACACCACAGCCCCATCTGAGCAGCAAAGGATTATGGTTAGACTCTACTCGTTCGAGCGCAATCAACGAGCAGTTAGGGAAATCAACATCAAATGAGGAAGAGATAAGCGCACGATCAATACGAGACATGATGTCCGAATCACCTCCTTTGCTCCAAGTGAACCTGCTACCACCAAGCGGAAGATCCATCAAAGCATTATCATCAATAAAGTTGTTGAAGGCTGACATCAATGTCCAGCATTGGCGTACACCCCTATAGTCTTCATGGCTGTGAACCAGATTAAAATCCCCTACTAAACACATCGGCCCCTCGAAAGACTGCACGAAACCATGTAATTCTTCTAGAAAACACAACTTCTCCTCTCGCTCCTGAGGTCCATACACAACTACCAGCATCCACCTATTCTTCGAATCAAAGTCCTGCAAATCAACTGTCAGGAAGTACTTACCTTCCATAATATTCATCGCTTGCACATGAAGCTTGTCCCAATAAACCAAGATTCCACCTGCATTGGACTCCGCATTTTTAACCGCCCATCCAGAATCCCTGCTCCCTCCAATACTTCTAACTGTTGCATCATCACAGCTCTCCCATTTAGTCTCAATAAAACCCACGATTTTGGGTTTCCGTCTGCTAATAAGTTGCTTTATCCTGCTTATCTTGCTGGGGTCTCCAAGGCCCCTCACATTCCAAACGAGGATCGACTGGTCCATTAAACTCTTGTACCCTCTGTGTTGCCTCCACCCCTCTACCTACTTCTACGGGAGCCAGATGCCATTGGCACATCTGGACCGAGACGGCGAATCTCCATTTCAAGCTTAGATCGACTTCCCCGTAGCTTCCTTTGGTGCATACCCAAAGCTTTAGGCGAAACCACCCTATCCACTTGCTCCTGGCCGTGATCGTGCTATAAAGAGAAGAGCTTAGCAAGAGAGAGACTGTTACTTTCCAGTGTGTCTAAATCAATAGGGTAGCAATCCAAATTCCGCTCCTCAGACTCTGAATAACTGAAACACGACAGTGAGTCATTTCTGGCTCGGTCCTGTGGGAAGAAATAATTGTGGATGGAGATTGAGGGGTTTGAATTGGATCTGATACTCCTATGGTGGAAGCATTTGGGTAAGAAGGCTCAAAATCAACCGTGGGAGACACGAGGAATGAGCTTGAATCAGAATCCTGGAAGAAAGGAAGGGTTGAAAGTGTGGGTGATACAGGGGACCCAATCTACTCAATCGCATCTTCCCTTAAAGTGTCTGGGACCAGTGGAAAAGTACTCAGGGAGGGAAGAGAGGAAACCAATTGAGAGTGGCTATCGGACAATCATCTAAATCTGGTAAACTGTGGCAGTGAAACTACAAAACCTTGATACAAAACCAAATGCTTGAAAGAGTCTGAGATGGAAATGGAGCACATAGTGAGATGATTTTCCTGGATGTGGTTAGGGGGATGAAGTAGAAGCCCAAACAGATGAATCAGATAATCCAAGGATGAGTGAGTCTGGCTGGGCACCAGCCCTTGCCTCGCAGCGGGCCTCGATGCGTCAGGCCCATAGAGATCTAGATCAGAGGAGATCTTACTGAACACTAGCTCTTGCATCACAATGAGCCTCAATGAATCTGGCTCAGAAACGTCCAGTCCAGAGCCTGAGGAAAATCCAGGGCAAGGGGTGGGGCCAAACTTTCGAACCCAAACCTTTCTCATTTTATTTGTCTGCTTAGAGAATTGACCTCCCCCATTAGTGCCTTCTAGATGAACAGGACCATGATGATTCATGCACGACTCGTTTTGAATACCACTGCCAACTTTCTGCCGTGACTCCTCGTTTCCAACCCTTCTGACTTGGAGACGAATTTGAAATTTGCTCCCGCTCTGGGAGTCGCAATATCATGCAACAAGCGACTCTTTGGCTCCTGGTGATTATTGCCTTAACATCCCAACTAGTCTCCATGCCTCGGTATGAACACTCTGATTATGAACTGCTGCGAACGAAAGACGATGGGAATTTCTTCCGGTATGCCTAGCGTAGTGCTAACTCTTATCCGAACAAACGGTAAACTCCAGGAAGCCCAATCAATCCCGATCAACTTGCCAAAAAACTCCCCCAATGCTCTGAGAAGATTGACACTTTTCAATTGAATTGGAATGCCTGTGACCAGAATCCACTCATCACCCGAAAGGGAACACGGATGGTAGAGACCTTCATCCCAGATTTTGAGGTCAAGACGAAAAGACTTGAATCTGAGGTGGACGAGTTCCTTTATTCGCATTGCTTCCTGAAAGCTCGGCCACACTAAAAGCCACCTGCCATCTCCTAGGTCTTCAAATCCGAAATTCCTGTTTATAACCCAATTCTTCTCCACCCATCGAAGGAACTCTGAGACATTAGCCGTGGTGAACACCTCATCGTTCTGAGATATGAAACCAATCACCAGACTTTTTCCTAGCAAATCATTTCTTTCCTGGACCCCTTCTTCACCTACCTCAATATGACGATTCCTTCCCACCTGTTTGATTTCACAGGTTCCATCTCCATAGAAGCCCGCACCTTTAACCACATCGGCAAACGACCTTTTACCTCCCACTTCCCAGCATTGAGGTTGGAGCAATTCGATCCCAGTCGTCTCCTCCTTGCCAACCATCCTACGAACTTGGGAAGAACGTTCCAGCTTATAGAAATCTTGTAGTAATTTGATCAGACTAGCCCACCCATTTACAGCTCCCACTGAGGGGAAAAGAACCTTAAAAATCCTCCCAGATTTTATTCTTTCAGAGACTTGTAACTGCACAGACCCAAAGAAATACGCTTTCCCAATGTGTATGCTTCTCTCACCGCTTGACTTGATGCATCTTCCGGGGAAAGACCAGTTTTTCATTGCAGCTGTTTTTAGGGATGACAATAAAACCCGAACCCACGGGTACACACCCGACCCAACCTGGTCAACGCGGGTAAAATCCGTGTTGACGGGTTTTGGACCGGGTTTGGGTTTAAACCCATTCATTATTCACCGGGTTGGGTTGGATTTGGGTTTAGGTAAACCCGACCCATGGGTACCCGCCATGGTTGTCACGCCGGCCGGCGTGCCACCGGTTGTACCGGGTTCAACCGATACCGGTCATAAAACCGGCGTGACACCACCGGTATGACCGACATGATCGATATACGAATCTCTAAGTAAAATGACCTTATTTTAGAGAATTTAATTGATAAAAATTATTTTATTATTAATTTTATGAGTATAAAAGTTAAATATTGATGTTATTTGTTGGATTCAAGTATAAATTATTAGGTATTGACGTTAAATGTCATGTTTAAATATGAGTATTTATAATTTTATTTGTAATATTGACAGGCATGAACCGGCACAAACCGGTATGTGCCAGCAGTTGAACCATTCCACTTGCTAAACCGGCACACTGGCATAAACCGGTTTGACAACCTTGGTACCCGCCCATACCCATATAATTAATTTTCTTGGCATATTTAATATTCTAAACAACTAATCTTATTTATGTTTGTGGAGACATGCCTAATTTTTTCTTTCTAGTTGTGTAGAATGAATTTGATTTTATCGAGTGGAGATTGAAAAACTTAATTGAAAGGAAGAAGCTTTCAATTAATCATGTTATTTATGGATAATTTGTGATTTGCTTCAATTTTCTTGAGTTTTCTAGATTGGTGCTGAATAATTTGTATAGTTAATTTGTGATTTGCTGGAATTTTCTAGAATGGTGTTTTATATATGGATAATTTGTATTGAGAGATTGATATTTGACTTTAATTTTGATAGGAACTTGTTATTGTGAATTTTTTACAACAAAAACCTGTGGGTACCCATGAACCCGCGGATACCCAGCGGGTTGGGTTGGGTTTGAGTTTTTCAAACCCAGTGGGTTTTACCCCGGGGTTTTCACGGATAAATCTATGGGTTTGGCAAAACCCGACCCAACCCGACCCATTGCCATCCCTAGCTGTTTGTAGTACCCCTTGAAGCCAAGAAATGGTGGTGGCGTCCAAGACCTCAAACCAGCTTTTACCGCACTCTTCCACTTGAAGCATATACCACCAGGAAGCTCCCTACCCCTTCCTACTAACCGACACGATCTTAGATCCCATCTGTGCTTGCAACCGACATCCTTCCGACGAAGCGCCACCACTGCCAGCCCCCATATCCTGGTACCTGCACACAGAAGAAGAGAAAACTTCCCTATGCCCACCCCGAAACGCGGACCTCACCCCCTCAGAATCTCTCGCACTCTTCCAGGCAGAAAGATGAACCGCCTTTCAATAACACATCCTATGGCAACAAAAACAAAAAAAACACATCTCCGCCTCCTCGATCTCCCTCTCCGGCGGATTCTGTAAAGGCAGTTCCGACGACTTCATTATGGTCGATTCTATCTCCAGGATCTACATAATGCCTTCACGGGAATCCCTTACCATTTCCCCTAAAATTTATGATGTAAAACAGAAGCGAAGGAAACCGTTGCCTTCACCGTCCCCCTGTCTCCACCGAATGGCGCCGACGCCAAAGTAAGGTCTCAGAAGCGAAGGAAGCTGTTGTCTTCATCTCTCCCTTTGGCTATCAGTTTTTCTTTCAAATTGGAAACCACAACGATGTCGGCCTCAGAAGAGGGGTATCACTCCGAATTTGATCTGGGCAATACGACCCCATCAAACCCACACAGCCACAGGAACAGATGGACTGAAGCAGAATCGAAATTCAGATATAGGACATCAATTGGGGCCAAAATCAGGGGACATATCTATTTGGAGAACAGAGACAGTGGAAGTTTTTTGTGGGGTGAATCGAAGAGGACGATGTATAGGACATTGTATCGCTGCCAACGCCTGAGCTTGGTTTCACGCCTGAGCGAGAACCCGAGGAAGATGACCCTTTGTTCTGCATATTCGTTCGTTCACTCCCGAGACAGACAGAAAGGCATAGAAAGAGAAGCAAAGACAATAGTAGAGTAACAAACTAACAACGTCACCGGCGATCGGGTTTGGGCTTATCATTAATAAAAAACCAACGCCATGTCACACCTACGTGGACCAATCACAAATAACGACACCAATGCCGCACTTTTTACTGCGGCACCGTAACATTGGCCCCTTCTATTTGGGTTGGGTCCAATAACCAAATCGATTAGGCCCACTATTTTCGCTACACAGAAGGGATACCGGTCCGACATCTGCACTTTACATAGCAACTACTACCAATTTCCAGGTGAAAAATTGACCGTCGGCCGGACTATGGAGGAGAAGGCGGAGGAAGGAGCGAAACAAAGGAACCCGGTGTCAAGAGCTACCACCCAGAAAGTGCTGATTCAGATTCCCTCTTACGAAGAAGTAATCGGAGCCTCGCAGCCCAAATCGACCCCTTCTTCTGGGTCTCTCTTTCAGCCATCCCAGTCTTTCTCCCAAGCTTTCTCCTTTATCAAGAATTCCGAATTCTACTCCCCTCCCCCGCAGCCGCCGCAGCCATCGTCGCAATCGCCTTCCTCCTCGTCTTTGCCGAATAGTGTCTCCCGGAGGTATGGAAACTGGGACAAGGCCTGTTGGGTCGGTTATGGGTTCGGCTTTGGGTTGCAGTTTTTTTATGGAAGTTCGAACCTTTTTATTGAGAATTCACTGTTTTGGTATACGATTGGTTGGTGTCTACTGAGTTCAGTGGCGCTGCTGCTTCTTCATCAAGTTCTCAGTCGGGTTCACAGAATAGTCAGACTCGGAATGCGATCCTTGTTAGTCACAGGCAGGTGAGGCATTGTTTCCCCAGCTGATTTTGAATATGTTGTTTCGGGTCATCACCTCCATATCACATGAATGATAAATTTGAGAGCTTTTCATTGTACAGAAGGGAAACCCTTTGCTTAAGCACATCAGAAATGTGAGGTGGACTTTTGCTGAGGTGGTCGGTGACTACTTGGTTGGCCAGAGCTCATGTGCTCTCTACCTGAGGTTTCATTCTCATACATGTCTATCAGGATCTTGTTCTTAAAATTATTTACTCGATGGATGGCTATTATTTTCTGGATTTCGAAATGGAGAGGATACGTTATCTTTTAGGAAGGAGAAGAGTGTTGCAGATTATGTTGTATGTTTTAGCATTATTGGTATTTCAACCCCCTTTGCTGAAATTGATAACTTCATTTCTCCAATACAGTCTTCGCTACCATCTATTGCATCCGGACTACCTGTATTACCGAATAAGGGAGCTCCAGAAGAACTACAAGCTTCGTGTTGTTCTTTGCCATATCGATGTGGTGAGTGGAATCTTGTTCGGAAAATCATTTCTCAGTTTTTTGAAATCCAGTATCTCAAGCAGACATTGAAAAATTCAGATGAATTGTTCATTGGTAGCTATCTCATTGTCTGAACTTTCCAGGAGGATGTTGCTAAGCCTTTACTTGAAGTTACAAAGACAGCATTGCTTCATGATTGTACACTTCTATGTGCATGGAGGTATGCAGCTTTGAGCTTCCCTCTCATAGTAGGAGCCCCAAGATTTACCCTTTTCCTCCATTGTGAACTTATGCAAGCTGTTTTGGTACTTAAGGAGTTTGTGTTGAAGCCGGATAAATGTCTAAATTTCTTTTTCTTCCGTTGATTATAGTTTGGAGGAATGTGGTCGTTACTTAGAGACCATAAAAATGTATGAGAACAAGCCCGCAGACCTTATTCAGGGTCAGATGGACACTGACTATTCATCAAGGGTATGATTGTGTTGAATGGCCTCTTTGGACTTGTATACCTCATAACCTTTCCTAATAAATTTCTTTGTTTAACATGAATTGGTCTCTGGCTTATACTTTTTGTTCAGTTACAACATGCCCTCACATCTGTTAGACATGTTAACAAGACTGATGTGGTCACCCTTGGCTCGACATTTGGGGTATGCCCACTTTTTTCATCTCCGGATATATTTAATTGGTTGCTTTTTCTTTCATCCATGTTTATATGGCCGAGTTCCATGTATTTCCAGTCTCTTTCCAGTGTAATGGATGCCTCGATGGAGGATCTTGCTCGTTGTCCTGGCATAGGAGAGCGCAAGGTATTTGAGATGCTTTTCCCCCATTTTAATCTGGAATGGAAGATTGCATGATGTCTTAGTGGGCTAATTTAGTGAAATAAAACTAATCATTAGGTTTCAACTTTCATATTCTTGTTAGGTGAAACGTCTGTATGATACTTTTCATGAACCATTCAAGCGCACAGTTTCAAATTACCCTGTTGTTCCTGAAACTCCTACCCAAGGACCTTCCTTGGAAGATCAAGTTGCAGAAGTAGGAGTAGAAAAGGAAGGAGAAGAAGATACAAATAAGCGTAGGAGGAAAGAACCCGAAAAGACAGTCAAATCTGCCCTGTCCGCTGCATATGCTAAGTATGCTAATAAGTTTGGCAAAAAGAACAGTAAATCTCCGGAAAAGGAGGCAGGAGGACGAAGTAGCTCCCCAGGACCAGAAGGTGCAAAGAGTAACTCCAAAGAAGGGGAATCAAGCTGACTATCTGAAAGTCTGAGATGAATAAGTGCTTTGGTTCTTGATGTGAACGAACCAAGCAATTCTACAATTCAGAAGATCATTCAAGGTCAAAGCCTAATGGCTACTGTCCAAGTGGTGAGTTCTGCACTTGGGCTTATCAGCAGCGCTGAGGTGCGTAAGTCTGTGAATTTGTAGATTAGCTTCAAGGATGCTGGATTTTAATCCAGCCAAAGTGTATGTCATTAACTTATTGATGGGGTATGACCAAACAAGTAAAGTCTAACTATTAGATTCTGATAAAAGACACTTATATTTGGACTTTATTCTATATGTATTTAGTCCAGATAGTTCTCTAGCTGTGTAAGAAGATTTTCTACTTGTGTTATCCAGAAAGACGGGTACAAAACAGAAAGCAAAAGAAATTGCTTACTATTAGTATAATAGGCTGAGAAGCACTTTGTTAAAAAAACTAAAAACAGGAACGAAATGAGTTTTTTTAACTCTTTCTTGTAACAAATAAGAAGGTTGAATGCAACAGTTTTCCTGTAGAGTTGCTCTATGAACAATCTCTCTCTGTTTGAACCCCAGCAGGAAATTTCCTTTTTGTTATTCTTACAAAAAATTATATTGGTATTGGAAGAAAGAGAATAAAAGATTACAGCTTTATGTACCAAATTCAAGTATTCAACCCATTAGCCCTTCAGGCACTCTTGTGAACTTGCATAAATCTCTCTGGAAAAATTAGCTAGGAAAGAATGAATTTGAGGTCATCTTGTTCTTCTCTGGAAGATCTTTCTCTCGTTATTATTAGCATAAAAATAGTGCTCTGTGGCTCACATCGTTCTTCTTAGACATCATTGATCCTTCCCTGTGAGGAAAATGCAGGTAGACATTGTTGAAAATACTGAAGCAAAATGAGATACAATTAAAAAGTTAACAGCTTTTTGGGATTCTGATATACCTGGGGCTTATCTGGTTCTGGAATCTTGCTGATGAAGAAACTGAAGAAGATAGGTTTTTCACTAGAGGGATTAGTGATTGCACGACATCTGTCATTAGGGGCCTATAATCTGCTTCTGGTTGCACACACATTGCTGCAATAGCAGCTACCTGTAAAAATACAAATTCAGTTATGAATTCAACTTCTGAAGTTGGTTGCCAATACACCTAAGGATTCATAACAAGGGCTGTTGGCTTGACCTGAACCAAATCCTTCTTTGAGTATTGTCCTTCCAATGCTGGGTCAACCATTCCTGCCACCTGTTCTCTGTTGGTCAATCTTGGAAGAGCCTGTCAAAATAATGAACAAACCATATGAATTTTTGCCGCAAACGAATGGTGTTTCTGAGCTCGTTAGTTCACCTACCCAGGAAACAAGAACATGCTCTCCTGGAGGCCTCTTGATGTCGACCGGTATTCGCCCAGTTAAGAGCTGCAACAGAACCACTCCATAGCTGTAGACATCTGATTTGGTAGTAAGTTTACCAGTTGAAGCATACCTGATAAGGCAACAAGCAAAGAAGGGGGAAAATAGGTACATCAGCAAAATTTCCATTAATAGTTTTAATTCCTATCCCTTCTCTGGAAGTTGCTGAGATATGTTTTAGATATAGCTTGATGCCCAAGGAAAAGATAGTTCTTTATTTCTTGTGCTATAACAGCCTTAACCGTTAACGCTGAGTTTGACCACGACCTTTCACTTCCCATAACAAAAAATTTCCCAAAGGAAAAGGAGAAAGTGATGTGCTGCCGAATAAGCTTTAACCATATAAAGGGGTAAGGACTCACTCTGGTGCAAGGTAACCAGTGGTCCCCAAAACCCGGGTCGAGATCTGACCATTGATCTTGTCTGAACCGGTCTTGGCCAACCCGAAATCAGAGACCTTGGCCCTGAAGTTATGATCTAGCAGTATGTTGCTGCACTTGAAGTCACGGTGGATCACTGCCGGGACTGCATGTTCATGGAGGAACTCGAGTGCCCTAGCGCAATCGAGGGCTATCCTAAGCCGGGTCCCCCAATTCAATGGGTGATATTGTGTGTGATGGAGGTGCTGCTGGAGGGTTCCATTGGGCATGAACTCAAATATCAGCAGCCTGTGGTGCTGATCAGCACAGTAGCCCAGTAACTCAACCAAGTAAGTTGAATGAAGCCTACTCAGCAGATCCACCTGAAGAAAAGCAAGAAAAAGATGGAGACTTTTTTTGAGATTCCCTCAACCCATGTGTTTTAGATTCATGAATAAACAAATTATCATTAGGTTTTGACTTCTTCAGAATCAGAAATGCATTGACCTTTTTTAGCAGCAAATACCTAAACTCTTAGGTTGTTATTATTATAATCCTGTTTTTGTCATCTTCTGAGAAAACATGCTGAGCATTATTATTGCTCTAAAGTCTTTCAGCTTTTTGTCTCATTCACAAACATGCTAAAGCCAATAAACCAAAAAGATATCTGTTTGGACAAATTTTACAATGCTATATAGTATTGGTGCTATAGGTTTTTGCCTTTATGGTACAACTTAAAATTGTACATTTACGTTATGGTACAACTTTAGATTGTACCTATACTTTTTGCACACATTCTTTTATGGTACAACTTGAACTTGTACATTTATGTGATGGTACAACTTCAAGTTGTAAAGTTGTACCATAACATAATGGTACAAATTGCTTTATGGTACAACCTAAACTTATACATTTAATGTTATGGTACAACTTTGGGTTGTACATTAAAGCACCAATACTATATAGCATAGTAGAAGTGCTCATCTGTTTGTCGTTTGACAAGAACCAACTTAACTCTTATCTCTGTAACATATTCTGCCTAGGATGATGATGTTGGTTCACAGTTTATGTGATCCAACGATATCAGTTCGTACTTAGACTACCTATTCAATCTCCAAATCGAACCCTTTCAACCAATGGTTAAAAGAAAGGAAGAGGGTCGATGTCGTTTTTGTTTGAGTCATAGAAATAATTGAAGGGAGGGGGTGGTGCAGCAATAAATGGAGGGCCACTTGCCTCTATCCTGAAGGCACGTTCACTATGCTTCCCTTCTCTATGGAGCATCTTAATTGCAGCCACCGTCCCATCGCTGAGAATCCCTCTGTACACAACGCCATATCCACCATTCCCAATCACATTTCCTGCATTGAAGTTGCCTGTTGCAGTCTCGAGCTCTCTGTATGTGAACACTTGAACCACTCCTCTCCTGTGCCTGGTTGGAGTTTTATGTCCCATGTTGCTTGTACTCAGACATCCACCTCCCACATCTTATAACCATGAGAAGATAAATAAGATTTGAGCCAGCAATCAAAACATTTGGTGTTAGAAACTCAACAGCACCATTATCCACTTCTAGCATCTATCAGACATTCTACTCCAGTTTTTCTACAAATTTTGCATTTGGGTTTGTGTCGAAAACCGATTAACAAGATCATATTCATTCTTAATATCGACTAGACCTGAATCGTCAAAAGACTTAAACTTGTGAGACAGAACAGTTCTAGCTCAATTTTGCATATCATATCAGTTCTCAATGTCTACCTGCAGGGGTGATTCAATTTCAAACACGACTTAATCATCAAACTCGGATGGAATCATACACATTGATTCTTGCTACCTCAATTCTGGCAAAACTTGTAAAATAATTTTGGAATACACTCGCTCACCAGGGCTTGAGTTGAAGTTGATGGTGGTGGCGGTGGAGGAACTACGAGGCACGAATCGATGACTGCCATTGCGATGAACGACGACATGATTAATGCTGCTGCTGATGCTCCCATTGCTTTCCTTAAAGCTGGCTGCTCTGCTGACATGATCAGCTCTCAGCTTCCTCAGCAGGACAATGGCTACCACCACAAGCAGCACCACCACCACAGAGATGGCTGAGACTGCAATGACCAGAACCGAAGTTGGTGAAAGGCTGCCATGGTGATGGCGAGAAGAGGAGGAAGAAGAAGCAGCAGAATGTGAATTGTTGTGTGGGTTTCTAAAAGTGTGGTTGCTGCTGCCAAGTGGCCTTGTTGCAGCAGCACTTTCCATTGGCACAGTACAGGAAAAGAAAAGGAAGAAAAGAACTGTTTGGAAAGACAGGAAATGGGGACAGTTTTGAAAGAGGGAAGGGGAATTGGGGAGTGTAGAAGAGGAGGAAGAAAATGATGTTATAATAATAAGAGTCGGATATCATATTATCTTGTGAAATTTTGGAAGGCCACAGAGTTGGATTTTCTTATTTCTTTTTATTTTTTTGGAAATTTATAGTTTACCCCATTTTTCTTCTTGTATCTCGTGAGTGAGTGGGTTTCATGTACTTGATTCGTCTCATCTGTTGGTTTCTTCTTCCAAGGAAGGGTCTCTTTCTATCTTTTGCCACCAGTTTTGTCACTATTTAAGGGGTTAATTGTCCATAACTTGAGAGAAGTCGTCTTTGTAGACGATCAATAGCCATTAGTAATCTTGCCCTGGGTGACAAGGAATGTTATCCTAAATGCAAGTAGCTAGCCCTGAAATCTTGGCTCTTGGTCTGGTGGAAGAAGTGTCAGAGGGTTTGCTAGAAGGTGTGCCAAAGACTTTCTGAATTCATGCCCTTTGGAAGGGTCTAACCAGGGATTAGACAGACTATCTTTCTTCTAGCACCTGCTGAAGGTGGGTTTTCAATTTATTTTGGATGTGTCCAACGTTTAGCGCATATTTCTCCAATTCTTTTTTGTTAATCAAGAAAATGCATATCTTTAGTGGTATTGGATGTGACAGGCCAAAGTGTGCTTTTTCGAGATATTGTCATCATAACTTTTATTGTAATTTTCTATATTAATTTTGCCCCAAAAACTTTGAACGAAAATCGTTTATTTCTATCAGAACTGGTTAAGATTATAAGATAAATGAACTATTTGATTTGTTATATAATGCTTTAAAAAGTCTGAATTAAAACTTTTTTTTTGCTGATAATATGAGGCGAACGAGATGGAGAACTCATTTAGCTTCATCCAAGTTATTGATTCATGCGCTGAAAATGGCACTGCACCACTACGATCAGTACATGCTCCTCTTACTTCATGTAGTTCACGTTTAACATTAGATGTTATCAAGTTTCAGATCCTTATCCACCCTAAATTGAACTAGACCAAAAATCCCAAACTTCAAGACATAAATTTCGTGTCAATTCATCAATTTTACTTGACGATCGAGACCGAATGATACTCTTTACACCGTTGATTTAACAACATCATAATAAGGTCATCATTCTTTTGTCCATTTGGATGGTTCTTGGGGGGTACCCTACCCTCTGCAAAGGTCAGTCAGTCCTTTCTGTTGGGACATTTCCAGAGACTGTTCACATTCCATTGTTTCTCTATTGTCATCAAGTATTTGAGAAGAAGGAGAAGGAGAAGGGATTCCAAAGGAATGAACCCACCACCACTACCCTTTCCCAAGGCCATGATCTATATATCTAGCTAAAGCTAGTTAGTATATATTGCATGGCGTAGGGTATTGTCCTTTTCTACCGAGTTTTCCTCACTTTGCCTCTCCAATAACGGGGTACCCCTTGGGGCAAAGGGACACTCAGATCTGCAGTGGATTCACAGAGGTCATGTGGTCTTCATTGAATCCTCTAAACTTTGGTCCCCCTCCCAAAGCAAAGTGTTTTTTGTGGAGCAATAAATTCTCCCATCAGGATCAGGACTCAGTCTCAGGACTGGAGGGCCAACTTGGAGAAAGGGGCAACCTAGCTAGTCGATCTGGACTGCAATGATGCTTTCCTTTTCATTGTGGCTTTAATGTGAAACTTTGTTGAAAACATTTGAGTCCTAGCCAATATGCTGAAACAATAACAAGGAAATGGTTGTGGATCGGACCGGCTAAATATTAAACGAGTCAAATTAGTTGTAGCTGGTCAGTGGTCACTCGATAAGATATGGAAACTGGTATGGTGGTGGTTTCGGATTTGACTTTTAGTGTTACGAGAAAATCTTAATAATGTTCATCGATAAGACTCTATGTCTGAATTGTCTAGTCCTATGAGTTTCTTGGATGTTCTTAGGAACTTAGAAAACCTCGAACTTTCGTGTTACGTCCCAAAGTTACGTCCCCTTTATGGGGAAAAAATATGAAGTTGGTCAAATATAATATTCTTTATCCAAATGTGAGGGTTTTGGTTGGGATTGAAATAAATGTAAATATTTAACGGGTCGTTTGGATGCAGTATTTTGATGAGGTAATTTGGTCGAAATAACTCAGAATGAGGTATTTCAATCAAAATAACTCGTTTGGCAAAAATAAAGTAGAATGTAGTATTTTGTCCATGAGTTAATTGAAATAACTCATTGTGAGTTATTTGAAATATCTACCCACCTCCTAGTTATTTCAAATACCTCATCTCCCAACTTCTTTTCCCACTTCATCCCTTCTTTAAGTGGTGAAATACCACAATATTTGAATGTTTTATCCAAACAAGACAATTGCACCAATTACCACATGTCAAAATGAAATACCACATGAAATGCCATATAGCAAAATAATGCATCATTTGGATTCGAAATACCATAGAACCAAAATGATGCATCCAAACGACCTTAAGTGTACTATTTTCCTTTGGGATTTGTAACCAACCAGTAAGTTCAACTAATTCAAACCATATAAAGTGATAAAAATTAAAAACTATGACTGTTATAATATCACAAATGAAATATCTAGGGCCTAGGTGTAAAAAAAAAGTTATAATATCAAATGAACTATAACTAGAGTGCTGAACCTTAAACAGAGGATATTGAACAAAAATGGGCCCAGTTAATTATGAAATAAATGGGCCAATAGAACGCATGACTGACTGGGCTTTCTTTGTTATCTCTTTCCATTGAGAAGAGGCAGTCTGGCTCTGTGGCTGGCTCCTACCTCCAGCCCAATCAGCGACCAGAGGTATATGATACACTATACATGTATGCAAAGACGGTATTTTGCGGTAGATACCTCCGTAGCACACCGACGGAAAATGGTATTCCTAGTACTAGCACGTTTCAAAACCATATTATTTTTTGTTGATTGTTGGCTTTAAAGATTCGAATTTAAAATTTGGCGAATGTTTTAATTTTAATTTATCACTAAGTTAACTTCTTGATAGTCAAAATGTATATGTTATTTTTTATGCTTAATACACTTGTATAGCCATAACTATACACATTTTGACAGTAATAACCAAATTTTGAAAAATACACAAAAAGATCAAATTCCGTTCAAAATTTTGACGGTGTCATTTGATAGGCTGACTTAATGACCGCTGACATGGCATGATTTATTCCAATGTGGCAAAAAGAAAAATAAATAAACTAAAAAATAAAAATAAAAATAAATTAAAAGCTCTTCTCTAATATCTCCGGATTCCCAGCCTTTCTTTCCTTTTCTTCTTCTTCGTACATCTCCTATTAAGCCTAAAATAAAGGGAGCTAATCCGGTGAGTAACCTTGTGGTGAGTAACTCCATGCATAACCAATAAGAATCTGCCACATCAGCGCCTCCTTCTCTCTCCTGGAAAAAATCATTAATTTTCTTTATGCTTAATCTTTAAAGGACGATTTCTCACTGGTTTTAACTCGATTTTTTTTTGCACAGTTAGATCAGATTAATTGTGCTCTTCAAAATGATATCCACTTTGATATTTTTTGGAACAAAAAATTTTTGCCAATTATTACCAGTCTATACCATATGGTATTGACTAGTATTAAATAATAGCATACCATATGGTATGAAAATACCAGTCAATACCATATGCTGTTATTTAATACCAGTCAATACCATATGGTATTAAATAACAGCATATCATATGGTATGAAAAATACCACCTCATACCAGGGGAGGAATTTTACAATGCTATATCGTATTGGTGCTATAGGTTTTTGCCTTTATGGTACAACTTAAAATTGTAGGGGTCGTTTGGATGAGGAATTCTAATGGATCAATCTGACACAATTGTCTCGTTTTGAGTCAATTGTGCTAGATTGATCCGTTTGGCAGCAGAAAATTTTGATGAAGCAATTTGGCCTGGGGAATTCTGAATTGACTCATTTTGAGCCAATTACAATTGTCTGGGGTGGGGGCAGGTAATCTGAATTGACTCGTTTTAAATGACTCGTTTTGTAAAATGAAACAATTGGTCAAATTGTCTCGTTTTACAATTGATCCATCCAAACGACCCCGTACATTTATGTTATGGTACAATTTCAGATTGTACCTATACTGTTTGTACAAATTCCTTTATGGTACAACTTGAACTTGTACCTTTATGTGACGGTACAACTTCAAGTTGTAAAGTTGTACCATAACATAATGGTACAAATTCTTTTATGGTACAATCTAAACTTATACATTTCATGTTATGGTACAACTTTAAGTTGTACATTAAAGCACCAATACTATATAGCATAGTAGAAATGCTCCATACCAGGGTGGTATAGTATAGTATAGAGTTGGTAACGAGAGGTTTGAAATTTTTTCCACCAGAAAATTTTGAAATCCAATAGATCATGATTAAATCGTTCCTTTTGTGCAAAAATTTCCGAAAATGACTAAACAACGAAGGAGATACCATATGGTATGGAGTTGGTAACGAGAGGTATGAAATTTTTTTTGTCTAAAAAAATATTGAAAATGGATATCATTTTGTGGAGCACAACGAACTCGTTCCATCTGTGCAAAAAAAATTGAAATCCGAGTTAGAATGAAGAAGATATGATCCAATTAAGAAAATTAGGAAAAATAAATTTCTTTAATTCTCCACCCTTAGATCTGCAGTCACTTAAAAGAAGAGTCCAGATTTGGTTACTCATTGTTACTCACCCTAAAGTTACTCACCCTATCTTGAGTCTAAAATAAAAAAACCAGTTGTCGCTGTCTCGATTCCCCTCCCTATGGGTTGTTTTTATTCAAATGCGATGATCCCTTCTCTCTCTTCGTCGCACCGTTCTCCCAACCTTCACCGTCGCTGCTAACGACACCAGTCATCACCACTCCCCTTGCTAGGTTGCATTAGATCTGTCGGCCTCTCTATATCTCTCGATTCCAGATTGGCAACCCGCCTCCGTCAAAAAGAGATTTGCACCCAAATGGTTGATGGATCCGGACGAGAAAAAGGAAAAATCAATGAATCGTTGCCCCAGGACTCTACATAAAAGCAAGGAGGAATCAGAGGGCCCTGGCTGAAGCGGATACAGTCGACAAAGTTCCACGACAAGCCGATCTGTTGTCTATGGTTTTCTTCTCTGTTGAGGAAGGCGTCTGGGCGGAGCTTCTTGGCTCAGAAAGAGGAATTGTTGGAGGAAGAATCTACCATTACGCATGGCATCCCTGCATCCTGCGTCCTAGCAGCTCGGCTACAGGAATCTCGCCGCCGGTACGAGATCTGTTCATAGTCAGTGGCACGGGGGTTGGTTCTGCAACTTCAAGTTTGTGGTTGCCGTCGACGTTGAGAGTGCCTTCTACCGAGAGGAAGAAGATGAAAGGGGATCAGTTTGTTTTTTTTAATTCAATTTCGTGATCAAAGAAAAATAAAAGAAAAATTATTTATTTGAATTTTTAATTAAAATGACACGTGACATCTATGTGTCACCAAAGGGTGAGTTGTCGTTGATCTGTGTGATAATTTGGCATACTATTCAGCCAAACGTCAATGGCTATATTTGTCATTGAACTTTCAAAATTATGGCTATTTTGTGTATTTCTCAAAAAGTGCTATTATTGTCACAAACGCCAAAGTTTTAGATATATAGATGTATTTTGCCTTATTTTTACTGCCATGTGGGCTTCCCTCGGTTGCTCCCTTCACTGGTTTGATACCCCGTCCTCGTGCTCCCTTCTCTAGGCAACATAACCATATGCTCGGACTCTGTCATAAACCAACTGGTACCAACAACTCGAGTTGTTGGGAGATGTCCATGTACGATACTTAATCACTTCCTTACATGCCTCTCAAACGAAAGCAAACTCATGAGCTTGAAATTTGCACACACCTGCCAGACCATGTGCTTGAAAGACAATGATTAATATTGGGAGGTCGTGAGGACTTGAACATTTGACATCAAGTACAAACCAACTATGATACCATAAAATATTTGTAGAATGCAAAGAAGAAAAAACATAATACTCAGTGGCGAACCTAAGGCAAGGGAGGGTGTGTCGTCCGACACACCCTCGCTCGAGAATTTTGTGAAGGACCTACATATTTTTGGTACAAATTTTTTTATTTCGAGATAGCCGACACACCTTCAATAATTATAGCCGACACACCTTCATTATACTCGAAGAATTTATTATCCGAATAAATCAATTTTAATCATTAATCCTTTTTAATTTTGTTTAAAATAACTCATAAATCATAATCCTATCAATTTCTATTAAAAAAACAAACTCTCAGCGCATACAATTAAAAGAGAAAAAAAAACCCACGGGCCTAATGTCCAATAGCCCAGGCGGCCTCGCCCAAAACGACTACGTACAACAATTTTAAAGTTCAAACTCCGGTTCAGCCCCTACCGGTTCATCAACTGCTTCCTCACATCAGCCGTTTACCTCAACGTGAACCCGATCGGTGTTCCCCCCGACTGGACCAAAGAGTGACCCGCCGAGTAGGGGTGGCTATACGGTCCGGTCTGGTTAAATTGGACCAAATTGATCCGGTCCCAGTCCGGTCTTTTCGAGAATATAAGGAACAAAGATTGGATTGGATACACTCCGGTCTTGACCCGGTCCGGTCCCAATTTGATTTTGATTTTAGATTGACCTTGTGGGGATTTGAGTGTTGGGGTCTCTTATCCGGGTTTTTTACTTCAAATCTAAGCCCGAATATGAGATTGGATTGTTTGCTATCCGGTCCCAGTCCGGGTTATACGGTCCGGTTTTGGGTAAAACCAAACAGTCCTGGACCAAATTGCCAGCCCTACCGCCGAGTGCGATCTCGATTCACGGTTTCGGTTCAAAAACCAATCGAACCAGAAAAGCTCCGACGGAGCTTCTGCCGGTGGTCGCTCTTCACTACTCCTGCAAACCCCAGCGGCCGGTTCCGAGAGAGTGCAGCCGTCCACTCGTCCTGCCTCAAGATCAGACGCTGAGGCAGGAGCAATGGTCTTCGGTTCGACCGCGATCGAGCCGTTCGCATGGGCCGAAACTGGCCCGGCAGACTGGGCAGGTGGCGTGGGATTCGAGCCAGGCGTCGATGCACTCCGGGTGGAAGACGTGGTCGCACTTGGGAATGAAACGCAGCGTTTCGTCGTCGTGGAATTCGCTTAGGCAGACGGCGCACTCCAGTGCTGCCTTCCCGATCTTCAACCCCTTGACCGCGGAGTAGACCATCGTGGGGAACGTCTCAATGACAGCTGGGTCGAGTCATCGGGAGGTGGCAGTGGCTGCGCGACGGATGCGGCGGCGGCGGCAGATTGGGACACGGAGCAGTTGCGGATGTAGATGGGGAAGAAGCCCAAGAGGAAGAGCGCGACAAGGACGACGATGATGACGGCCATGGTAGGGGTGACCCGGTCGTGGTCGAGGAGTTCTCCGGACGGCGGTTGCGCCGCCGTAGGGCGGAGGAGGAAGAAGACGGAGTACACCATTTTATGGGCCGGGTTTTCTTTCTTGTGGGAAAATGCGGAAGCTTTAGAAGGTCGAAGGTTAAGTGTGGGAAATGGAGAGGAAAATGGTGATTTAATTTTCAGGTGAAGAAGTATAGGGGATCACTATTCTCTGTCATTTGATACCTTATTGCTAGAATCTAGTCAAGGCGTGAAAAACAATCCCTTTTTAAAGACAACGAATTTATCGATTATGAAAGAAACCCTCTAATCCCAATCCCATCACGAACATCGGCGACGTCAAGGTCGGGACTCCTGTTTGAAGGCTAACTAATGATAAATGAAGAGAAGAACACAACCAGAATAAGGGTCAAATTGTCGTCGTGATATTATCGTACGGACGGAGTGGTGCACGTATGCTTGCCTATAGCTAGCTACAGAGTATAGTAAGTATTTTCTTGTTAGAGCATCCACATTAATATTGCATTCTCAATTGCAATATCACATGGTATAGGTGTTTGCAATTACAAAACCAATTGCATTGATGTGGTTACCAATTGTATATTTACAAGCTTGCAACAAATGCAATTTCATATGCAAGTCAAAAAAGCCTAAAAAAATGGGAATTTTTTACTTTACTTTTATATTATTTTCTTTTCTCTTTTACTTAATTTTCTATAATTTAAACATAATATTTAATTACATTTGCAATTGCAAGTTAATTGCATTGATGTAGGTGAATGAAATGAATGTGATGTGGATTGCAAAAAATTTGAGTTGACAATAAAAAACACAAATACAATTTCTTTTGTAATTGCATTGATGGAGATGCTCTTATATATCTCTATATAACAGTTAGGGTGGCTATACGGTCCGGTCCGGTTAAATTGGACCAAATTGATCCGGTCCCAATCCGGTCTTTTCGGGAATATAAGGACCAAAGATTGGATTGGATACACTTCGGTTTTGATCCGGTCTTGACCCGGTCCGGTCCCAATTTGATTTTGATTTTAGATTGGGCTTGTGGGGATTTGAGTGTTGGGGTCTCTTATCCGGGATTTTTTTTTACCTCAAATCTAAGTCCGAATATGAGATTGGATTGTTTGCTATCCGATTTCAATCCGGTCCCGATCCGGATTATACGGTCCGGTTTCGGGTAAAACCAAACAGTACTCGACCAAATTACCAGCCCTAATAACAGTTAAGTATAAGGCAAGCGTGAGATCTTTCGTATCGCCTAACTTTTTAGGAAAGCTTATACGTGTTTAGACACTGTAAACAAAAATAGCATTTAGTACCCAATGATGAATGAAATAGATGTTTTAGGGACAATGCTTCCATTTTAGTTTATTAATATTTTTTTACAACATTGTATTAATAATTTAATTAAAACTTAACAACAAGAAAAATAATTCACAAGTTTATAGAATCTTAACTCAATAGCTCACAAAGTTCTTGAACTATTGAAAAGATTGTGTTTGTAATGATGTTATTTTTTCCATTTTGATATTAACTGTCTAGCTATGTGAAGTTACGCTTAGGTCTCTGCACCATCGTGTTTTGGATTACTAACTCACCGAAGCATTTTGACCTTAGCGTGCCTTTTCCAGTCATAATAATAATGGTTAATACCTTATTTTGGCCTGAACTAAGATCATATAATTAATTTTGGCCCGTGGTTTCAGAAATCAACATCCTGGCCTTAATTATGCAGCATATAGACTCAATTGGCTCGACACATAGTTTGACCGTTAGTCAACGCGCCATGTCATTGCTTCGCCAGCCTAAACATCATTAAAAAAATCAAATTAAAATTATTTTCCTAATTTATATTATTTATCATTTTGAAATTAACTAAATTAAATTTAAAATTAGAATAATTTGATAATTTTTGGTTAATTTATAAAATTTATCAGTTTCAAATTACCCAAAAAAATAAATATAAATTTTTTTTATTTTTAGGTTAATTTTATAATGATAAATAATAGAAATTAGGAAAATAATTTTAATTTGAATTTTTTAATGTTTTTAGGCTGACGAGGCAATGACGTAGCGTGTTGACTAACGGTCAAACTATGTCAGGCCAATTGAGACTATATGTTGAATAGTCGAGGTCATGATGTTAATTTCTGAAACCACGAACCAAAATTAATTATATGGTCATAGTTCAAGCCAAAATAAGGTATTAACTCTAATAATAACTAGAATATTATGGCTGGTCTGTGTTAGTTGAGCGTATAATGGCTGACTGTGGAACATATTAATTGAACAATTCCGATTTCAGAAACAACTCTTGTCACCTAGGATCTATATATAACTACTTCTACCTGTTATTTACTACTCAGATATAGAGCTAAAAGGCTGAATTACCCAAACTGCTGTAAAGTTATATACTATCCACCAAACACTTTATTTCATTTTTTTTTATCACTTTCACTAACTGCACAATATCAAGCTTCTCTCCAGCGGGTCCGGATCCCCTCAGTAACCATAGCATTAGTAACCATCAGTAACCGCCCTATCCACCGTCCATTCCATCATCTTTTCAACCGTCAGATCATGCAAAGTAACTACACGGGGGGGGGGGGGGGGGGGGCAAAATAGTAATCTTCGATCTGACAATTTGAAAAGAAGACGTGACATTAAACCGTGCCGCCTTCTTTCCTTCTTTCTCTCACTTTTCACGCGACAGTTCCACTTCCCTCTGCTCTCTAACTCTCCATTCTTCATCCAATCGCGCACCAAAAACTTCAGAAAACACAGAAGAAACTTCAAAAATCGAAGGGTTTCCAACTTCAACGAGGCTCAAAAATCGTTTTTGCACAAAATATCAAGGTAAACCTCATTTCTTTTTTCGAAATCCATCCACAGAACAATAGAAACAGTATTTCAGTCACTCTTCATGTGAAAATTGTAGTAAAACTCGCTACATTACCGAATAGTTACCATGCGTTGCTGAACTGGTGTAGAATCTGTTGTGTTTTGCTTCGTTACCATATGGTAATGTGTGGTAAGCTATGGTTTCATGTTGTAAAATAGCAAAAAACCGTAACTCCTGCTGTGTTTTAGTTTGTTACCATATGGTAATGTGTAGTAAGCTATAGTTTCATGTTGTAAAATAGCAAAAAACCATAAATCCTCCTGTGTTTTAGTTTGTTACCATATGGTAATGTGTGGTAAGCTATCGTTTCATGTTGTAAAATAGCAAAAAACCATAAGTCCTTCTGTATTTTAGTTTGTTACCATATGGTAATGTGTGGTAAGCTATGGTTTCATGTTGTAAAATAGCAAAAAACCATAAGTCCTTCTGTGTTTTAGTTTGTTACCATATGGTAAGGTGTGGTAAGCTATGGTTTCATGTTGTAAAAATGGAGGAAAACATAAGTCTTGTTGTGTTTTACTTCGTTACCATATGGTAAGATGTTATAAGACATGGTTTCATGTAATTACCATATGGTAAAATGTGATAAATATATGGTTTGATTTGGTATGGTAGGAAACCATTATGGTACCATATGGTATATTATGGTAAAAAGTATACTAACAGACTATTACTAATTTCTACATTCAGGTACACTATGGTAAAACCAAGACAAAGTTTTCGCACAAGGTGCAGCCCAACAAGAGTATCTGCAATTGCAAGGTCAATAACAGATGAGCGGAAAGCGCAACTTGAGATATTAGGCCTAGCAGGCTTAATATCAATCAGGCAGACAAAGATAAACAGTCATTTTGCACTGTTCGTAATGAACAAATACAATCCAATGAAAGAATCGTTCAAGCTACCTGACGGGACACGCATGAAGATATCACCAATCGACTTTCATAGAGTATATGGTCTACCGATGGGGAATAGGGAAGTTGTACCTCCCATGATTTCTTGGGATGACGCAGCATATTATGCAATAGAAACCCTACTCGAAGTAGATGGAACATCCACTCCAAGGGTAAAGCTAAGTCAGGTAGAAAAAGATCTTCCTACAACTACAAACAGTAAGAGATGGTTACAATTATTCTTTCTGCTGGTCACCGGAGGCTTGCTGTGTCCAACTTCAGCGCCTATGGCAGAACTCAACATGCTTGAGTACTTGAAGACTGATGAACTGAAACATTTCACCAGCTACAACGGGTGCAAATACTTCTTCAAACACATGAATGAAGGATTGAAATCATCAAACCTCTACGGCAGTGCAGATCTTCACTTCCTTACAGTAAGTCTCCATTCCCTTGGCCATTTCAACCTTCTTATTCATATATTTTACATATAAATGATAATCTTTGAAAAAACTAATACAACTATCTTCATAAAAAAGGTATGCTTCATGTACAAACTGGACGAAATGGCATTCTCAACCCAGCTTCGAACACCAACAGTAAGCTACTATGATGATCTCAATGTCGAAACCAACTTTGAGAACATTAAGAGCTACTACAATGGAAAAGAGTTTTCCGAGATCGAAAAGGTTGCCAACATTAGTGATGATGAGGCTGATGATGCAACTGATGAGGAAGAGGAGAATGAGCCAGTCTATCAGTCACCGAAAAGACAAAGAAACAAAACTCCAGACCAGTCATCATCACTGAACTTTGATTTGAAGAATATCAGAACAGTAAAACAAGTAAGTACAAATTATTTATATTACAGTTGTCCAATACATGCTAACCGTAAGTCCTTCTGTGTTTTATTTTGTTACCATATGGTAAGGTGTGGTAAGCTATGATTTCATATTATAAAAATGGAGGAAACCATAAGTCCTGTTGTGTTTTAGTTTGTTACCATATGGTAAGGTGTGGTAAGCTATGGTTTCATGTTATAAAAATGGAGGAAAACATAAGTCCTGTTGTGTTTTACTTCGTTACCATATGGTAAGGTGTGGTAAGCTATGGTTTCATGTTATAAAAATGGAGGAAACCATAATTCTTGTTCTGTTTTACTTTGTTACCATGTGGTA